TCCTTAGATTTTCTTCTATAGGGGCTAAAAATGATAATTTACAAAAATAAGTTATGCATAACTTTTAAGTGTATATAAATTAAGGTATTCTTATATTTTTAAATTTTAGCTGCCAGGAAGGTACAGTAAATTTTTGTAACAAATTTAGACATAACTATAACATACAACTCCTTGGATTTTCTTCTATGAGGGCTAAAAATGATAATTTACAAAAATAAGTTATGCATAACTTTTAAGTGTATATAAGTTAAAATTCAAACTATTAAATAGGTTTTTTATATTTATATATTTTAATAATATATCAGCATAAGGAGAAAGCCAGACGGAGACAGGAACTTTGTCGAAGCAAGAAAAGACAAGAGCAAAGTCTTTTTGCATCATATCAAAGTGCAGTAGTACTAAAAATCAAGATCAATGTAATATTGCTTCAACATCCTTAACATGTCTTAAATTTAATTTTATATTTAGAATAAAATTTAGATTTATGATAGAAATCATATTGGGTAAAATATAAAATAGAAATGCTTGAAAATTTTTTAATTAAATATGGGCTAGACATTAGCATGAATTTTTTTTTTTGCAGAATCACCAGGCCTGATGAAAAACCAAGCCAATGCAACTTTCATTGATTTTATTTTTAATTGAATTATGACTTTTATATATTTTATTTCAGTTCTCAACTAACAAAATTATTATGGTCTTTGGCGGGCTTGAGAAAATTTTCCCAACAATATGGTTTTCAGGGATTTACCTATCTCCAGGCTTGGGAAAAAATTACAAAATTATTATGGGTTGGCCAGGTTTGAGAAAAAAAATTTCAGGCCAATGTCTGGTCCATATTTAAAATTAAAAAATTTTCAAACATATCTATTTTAAATTTTATCCAATATGATTTCTATCACAAATTTAAATTTTATTCTAAATATAAAATTAACTTTAAGATATTTAAATTCAATAGAAAAATGAAATATAAAATTAAATTTAAGACATTGTTATTAAATTACAATAGAAATAAATGGCAAAATTTTATGAAAGTTGCTTGGGACTTGGTTTTTTGATCAGGCCTGGCTATGTTTGCAAAAAAAATTCAGGTCAATGTCTACCCCATATTTAAAATTAAAAAATTCCCAAACATCTCTATTTTAAATTTTATTCAATATGATTTCTATCACAAATTTAAATTTTATTCTAAATATAAAATTAAAATTAAGACATTATTATTAAATTACAATAGAAATAAATGGCAAAATATTGGGAAAGTTGCATGGGACGTGGTTTTTTGATCAGGCCTGCTGTGTCTGCAAAACAAAATTTCGGACTCTAGCCCATATTTAAAATTCAAAAATTTAGAAGCATCTCTATTTTTAATTTTACCCAATATGATTCCTATCACAAATTTAAATTTTAATATTTCTAATACCCTTAATGCTCACGGGTTACATTGCCACAATTTTATCTCTTTTTCTTCTAAATTTTACTATAAAGCATATTTAGTACCATATATACAAACTAACTAATTACCCCTCAACCAGTGGCGTAGACAAGGGGGGGGGGGTTTAGGGTCGAAACCCCCCCTCCCCCCATAGAAAAAAAATTTTTTTTTTAAAATTTTTTTTTTAAAATTTTTTTTTTTTTTTAAATTATTATTTTTTTATTGCGAATAATTATATTTAAAAAACGGTTTCAATTTAGAGAAATAAGATAATATATTATATGTAATACAATATGAATATGAATATCACAATGAAATATATTTATAAAAAAGGAGTTTTAATTTTAAATGATCACATCGTTTAAAAATATATATAAATTATATGAACTAAAATATTAAATAACAATAAAAGAATAAAGATATATTGTATGTAAATAATTTCTGGCATAGTTAAATTTATTAAATAACAATAAAGATATTTTGTAAATATTTTCTGGCTTGGCATAGTTAAATTAGATATTTATAAATTTAATTATTAAATATATATTTTTAAACTATATAGATAGTTTGTAAATTTTAATTTTTTATAATTATTAAATATGGATATCCGTAAGTTTTTTCGTCAACAAGAAAAAGGTATATAAAAATTTAAGTTGTGTAATTTGAATTAGAAATATATATAGATATAGATGTTGCTCTTGCTAGTAAAAATCAGCCATCAGTTGAGTTGGTTTTCGTTGTATCCTCAGATGACGAAGGTAATGGTATTATTTATAATATCTTTTATTTATCTTGCAATTAGAAAGACCAGACATACCATTACCACGGACAACTACCTAAAGCTTTTTGAAAGCTCCTCTAAAAATGCTACTTACCTAAGTCCCACTATTCAAAATGAAATAATATCAATATGCAATCAGTTTATATTAAAGGAAGTTTCTTCAAAAGTCAAAGCATCACCATTTTTTAGTGTTTTGGCGGATGAAACTTCCGATATTGGTAATATTGAACAACTATCCATAGCAATAAGGTTTATTGATATGGAATCTGGTAATTATAAAATGAAGGAACTATTTGTTCAATTTATTGAATTACCTGACACTAAGTCAGAAACGATTGCTAATCAAATTATTAAATCACTTCAAAACCTGGATTTTAATTTAAATCTACTGAGAGGCCAAGGGTACGATGGAGCTCCCTCCATGAGTGGCCATGTTAAAGGGGTCAGTCAAGAATTAGAGAGCTTTATAGCACAGCTCTTTATGTTCACTGCAGTTAACATTGCCTGAATTTGATGATAACTGAGGCATGTGAAATTAGAGACATCCGGAACAGTTTACGTAAAAAGATTTTGATTTAATTGAAATTTATTAGATTTTATTATGTATTATAGATATCTTTATATAATTTTTATATATTTTTCAAAATTTAGAAATAATATCGTCGGTTTGTGACTTCTTTACCCCACCCAAGAAGAGGGAGATTTTTACCCAAACGTTCGATGAAATTGGTTCAAAAAATTCAAAAAAAAAATTCAAAAGATTTTGTCCCACAAGATTCATTGAAAGACAACAATCGGTGAAGGTTTTCATCGAGTTATATGAGGTTATTTTTGCGGCACTGGAATCATACATATTACGCAAAGAAAAAGATTCCGCAGATGCGGAAAATCTTTTACAGGCTATTACGAAGCCTCAATTTTTAATTTCAATTCAATGTGTTTATTTATTATTTAATTATACATATGATTTTAGCAAAATGTTACAAAAAATTGATTTGGATTTAAGGGAGGTTATGAATAGGGCAAAGGATATTGTTGAAATATTAACAAATATCAGAGATAATGTGGATGAAAAATTTCACGAAATATATGAAAAAGTAAAGGAGATCGCTAATATGTTTGGGATTGAAATTTTTAAACCTAGAGTAGTTTCTAGACAATCCAATCGCTCAAATATTGATGCATCTACTATTGAGGATTTTTATAAAATTAACATTTTTATTCCACTTATTGATACATTTTTATTTCAATTAAAGGAAAGATTTATAAGTCACAATTTTATTTTAAAAAGCTTTTATTTTCTTTTGCCGGTTGAGTCTGAATTGTTGATTACACTTGAAACGCGAGAGGATATTAAGAACATCTCAGAGTTTTATTCTGATGATTTATTAGGGTCGTATGATAAGTTACTTTGTGATGTCGAATTTTGGTATAAAAATCTTGGCAGAATAGAGTACTCTTTGAGACCAAAAAATGCTTTGCAGGCCCTTTCCATGGCACTTTAGATTCCCTGCCCAATATCAAAACATTGTTTTTTATTTTAGCTACTTTACCGATTAGTACCTGCACTAATGAAAGGTCTTTTTCAACTTTGAAAAGGTTAAAAACCTATTTAAGAAATAGCACCGGTGAAAACCGTTTAAATGGATTAGCCCTATTAAATATTTATAAGGAGATTATTCTAGATAAAAATTTGATTCTAGATGAATTAGCCAAATCTCAGAGAAAAGTAGACCTCTCTTTATAAATTCAAATCATATAATTATAATATTTTCTTAGTCATAAAATTTTTATATGTAAAACTTAATTATAATGAATTTTTAGTCATGATATTTTTATACTATATTTAATAATAGTATTGCACCTACAATAAGAATTATTTATATAATATACTCATTTGTATTAAATATAACTGTTAAATTATATTTTTTTAAATTGCATACAAGAATTACTTATATTTTAGTGTAATTTTATTTTTTTAAAATATAGATATTTACAATCAATTTTTAAAATAGTAATCTGTATAAAATTTCTAATTTTGAAATTTATTTTTTGTATATAAAATAAACACATAGTTAAATAAAGGGTTTATACTAAATAAAATTGTTAAATTATATTTTTTTAGCAAGAATTACATATTTTAGTGCAATTTTATTTTTTTAAAATATAGTTATTTACATTCAATTTTTAATATAATAATCTGTATAAAATTTATATATTTTGAAATTTATTTTTTTATATATTATTAAAACTAGTAGATAGCCCGTCAAAAATGACGGAGAATGAGAATTTTATTCGTTTTTTTAAGAAAGATGTTACCTTTTATTTAAAAATCATATCCAATTTATATAATCTGAGGAGAAGAACGCGAAATGATATTTCTGCTAAAGTGTCAATTTTGGTATACCCCTCTAAAATAGAATCATGAACGACATTGTCAACTCAACCATAAAACGGTCGTAAGTATTGTTATAAAGGCCATGACAAAACTATCGCATATTTTCCCATTAATAATGTTAATGAAATTGGCTGCACTACACATTCACGTTTGAACATCTCTCTAAATATTCATGAAAGTTCCTCAGGGAATCGGATAAAGTATTATTTATAATAACACCTAATGAGGTGAATGATAGTGGAATTAAATGCTTATATTTGTTAAAAATTAGGTAGAGGTGGCATAGGGATTGTGTTAGTGGTGATAGAAATATCATTTGGAGGCAACTGGGTGTATAAAATAAACAGATAGATATAAAACATTAGATAAAAAACAAAATAAACCTCCAGAGGAGTTCACAGTGCCTTTATCTTGGCCACCAGTAACTCTAGAACGGATAAGGCGTTTGTTGAATCGCCATTTTTTCCTTTGCTTATCTTTAATAATAGATTCATCATGTTTGGTAATGTGAGGGATTAGGGTTAGCCTAGACAAATAAAGAAATCAGGCAAAAATATAAATATACTATTGTTGAAATTAAACAAACATTAAAATAATGTAAAACCGGTAGAAGGGTCAATATTAGATGCATATTTCTAATAAGTTGGAGGGCTATCATCAAATAAAATTTTTGGGGGACTTATCAAGTCTATTATGATATTATAAAAGTTAAAAAATAACATGATAAATGTAATGTTATTAAGATAAAGGTTAATTAATTGTAAGGTAATTAAAAAATTAGATTAAAAAAGGGGGGAAAAAGAAGGTATAAATTATTATATTATATTATATAAATTAAAGGTGATAAGGTTTTGAGATATAGTGGTTAATAGATAATAGAGATAGAAAGAAAAGAATGAGATAATAAAATTTAGTGATAAATAAAAATGTTTATTTTTGTTAAAAAATAAGTGGAGGTGGCATAGGGATTGTCATAGTGGTGATAGAAATATCATTTGGAGAACTGGGTGAAAATAAAATAAACATAGATATAAAACATAAGATAAAAAAAAACCTCCAGATGAGTTCATTTCAAGCGTAGTTCTTTATTATTTTGTCTACCAGTAACTCTAGAACGGGTAAGGCGTTTGTTTATTCGTCATTATTTTCTTTGCTTATCTTTAATAATAGAATCATCATGTTTTGTAGAAATGTGAGGGAATAAGGTTGGGTTAGCCTAAACAAATAAAAAAATCAGGCAAAAATATAAATAAACATTATTATTGAAATAAAATGAAGATTTTTTGGAATAGATATAAAATAATATATAATATTATTTATAATAAAAATAATGTACTATGTATATTTTTTGTGCGTTATACAAAATAATCAGCAGGGATAATAGAGCAATGGTGGATCCGACAAAATGGTAAGCTTTTAAAAAAGTAGGATCCTTAAAAATTGTTATATTCATTTAGTTAAATTTTAAAAATGTACTTTGATATAATTTTCAATTAGACAAAATATTCATCAGAGATAAAAGGGCATATTGAGCGGCCTGACAAAAGGATGCTTAAATAATATAAAATTGTTTAAATTATAAAATAATATCATACTAAGTAATGTTCATTCTTATTCGTATAAACCGGGATTAATCGGATATAACCTCATGATATACCACATTGGTAGTAGTCTTTGTTTTATCATTGGTTATAATCTTTAATTTATGAGGAGAACAAACTCGAGACATAGCCACATATAGCTGTCCATGTGAAAAAACGGGATGAGGTAAATAGATGCCAACTTTGTTCAACGTTTGTCCCTGAGCTTTATTAATTGTCATGACAAAAGCAGGTCTCACGGGAAATTGGCGGCGCTTAAAGGAAAATGGCAAGCCAGAATCTGTAGGAATTAAACTTATTCTAGGAATGAGAACTTTAGTACTGAGAAAACTACCAGAAACAAATTCCGCCTCAATTATATTTGGTAGCAAAGAAGTTATAATCAATTTAGTCCCATTATTCAAACCAGAAGCAGAATTTAAGTTACGCATTAATATTATAGGTACCCCGACTTTGAGTAAAAGTTTGTGAGGTGGTAATCCTGATATACTTAAAGAATTTAAAATTCAGTGGGATAAAACGTCGCTTCATCCTCGGTTATGGTTTCATCAGCACTTATGTATGTAATTATATCTCCCGGAATTTTGTTAATCAATTTAATATTTATAGAATCGACATCTACGTTTTTAGGGGTCAGGATTGCATTTTGAGCAAATGATGTTCGGTTAAATGATGAATTGTCTTTGTCTATATCGTAAACAAAAGCAATAAGATCCTCGATATCATTGGAAGCTATACAACAATCTTGAGGAATTTTTATTTTATCCCTGGAGCCATCGAATGTTTCACAGCCTTCACTAACTCTTAAAAGAAATTTTGAGTATTCATTATTAATAAAATAATCATTTGCTTCCTGAAATTGTAGAAGTCTCATATTAATACATAACCTTAATGGCACTATATGTGACCATAAATAGGATCGTTTTAAGGTTGAGTTAACAATGTCGCATCTTCCACCACGTTTAATAACAGGTAAAATCTGTCTAAAATCTCCGCCAAAAATAATAATTTTACCACCAAACGGTTTGTCTAATTTCATTATATCCTGAAATGACCTATCCACGGCCTCGAATATATGTTTATGAGTCATTGATATTTCGTCCCATATTATAATTACCGATTGTCTTATCAATTCAGCTATTTGGCTTTGGTAAGGAATATTACATGAGGAACTTTCATGAATACTTAAGGGGATGTTGAAACGTGAATGTGCAGTACGGCCATTATGAAGAAGAGTTGAAGCTATGCCAGAAGATGCAACAGCTATAGCAATTTTACCTTGAGCTCTCAAGTTAAATAATATTGTATTTAATAGAAATGATTTTCCAGTACCACCAGGACCATCTATAAAAAATAAATTATGGGATGGAGTGGAGGGCAAGGACATAATTTTGGCATAGATAATATTTTGATCCCGATTAAATAAATTGTAGTTAGCCAAATATTTATTATACATATCATCAGTATCGTAGGAAATTTCCTCCCGAATAAGGTGACACCTAATATTAGCTGTAGCAGATGGAGATTGGGTGGATAATAAAGGGATAGGCATTCCCAAAAAATCCTTAAGAGATTTACCATTTTGAATCAAAATTTGATTGATGTGGCATAGCGCGAGATTTTAGGTGATAAGGTTATCCGGCTCTGGTTATCCGGCTCTGGTGATATTTTCTTGGAAAAATCTTCACAAAGATAAAATTTAAAAGAATTCCAAAGACCTAGAGGATCTCTCGGCTCACAATGTAATAAAATAACAGAAAATAACTGGCGCAATTGATATGGCATCTTAAATGAAAGACCTTCCTCTAAACAATGGTTCCATTCCGCATCATCTGATAGCAGACCACGTCGAATACATGCATCTTTAAAAGTGTTACTGATAATTCCATTAAAAGAGTGTAGATCTTCAAAACATGTAGGCCCAGTAACATAATTAAGTAATAGTCTTAAATAAAAAACCTCACCCTCTTTAGGAGAAACTGTGCGTATACGGCCTATAACTTTATTACCACCCCTTTTTCGTTTTAACCACTGTTTAGATAGAGGTTTCCACACATAATATCTTACAAAATCTGCATAAATATAATGTCTGGCATCTGTGTCAAGTTGATTAATTTTAAACCATTCGGTTAATTTTGTACCAGGATTTTTAGTTAAGATATTATTTATATCAGTATTTGATTGAAAAAGGATTATATGTTGATTGGGTAGATGAAGGTCTAAACGATAGACTGCAGGAGAATGATCCTGCATTTCAAAATCCAAAGTACGCCATAGCGATTCTATGGCGGATATATATCGAGCATCAATGAACTGGGAAGTTTCATCAACATTATTAATGGAAACGGAAGCAGTAGTTCTGTCATGGCCTTTGTAACAATACTTATAAAGGTATTTTATGGACTGGACAGATGAACAAATTTCTACATTTATATGTGCATTATATTTTTTTGATAAATGTTTATTATAAGGAATAATCCAACGGTTGTTAAATATAAATCCGTTTAATTTTTTTTGGAAGGTAACGCCATCATTTCGTCGCCTATATAAAGGATAACCATACTTATCGATAGAAGAGGTATCCACAAATGATTTAGGATATTTTTTTGAGCATTTTCCATCAATCATGCAGGGACTATTAGGAAATGTTATACCACATTGCCCATGTGTATTAAAATTGCTAATAATTTGAAACAGCTTAGGCTCAGTTATTTTGTTAGGAATTTCAGAACAAACTACATCATCATAAGTATCAGCCGTTGGTAGCCTATGAGATTTATCTAGTATAAGGCACATATGACAATGAGGCAAACCTCTTTTCTGGAATTCTATGACATCTATATAAGCGATTACTTTGCCAAGAACATGATAATAGAGCAAATCCTTTTTTAGACATTTTAATTTTTGACGAAAAACGCGACAAACTAAATCTGGGCGGTCGTTTGGGGTCTGATGAGGAAATAATTCACGCATTATTTCATCCCATTTAGGGTTGCAGGTGAAAGTAATGAATAATGATGGTTTACCAAAGCAGCGTACAATAGCCATTCTTTTATTAATGAAGGATAAATCACCACCTGTACAATCATTAACTGAGGTTAGGTCATGGCTTGTTATCTAAAATAGAAACAAAGAATAATATAAAGAATATAAATGCAATGAACATGATCTAAAATAAAAACAAAAGAATAAATAAAAAATAGAGTCAATATTAGGTTAACCTCTCTAGAAATAGTGGGAATACAATCATTAACTGAGGTTAGGACATGGCTTGTTATCTAAAATAGAAACAAAAGAATAAATAAAAAAAATAAATGCATTGAACTTGATGAGGAGTCAATATACCACCTGTACAATCATTAAATATGGGTAAGACAGGGCTTGTTATCTAAAATAAAAACAAAGAATAATATAAAGAATATAAATGCAATGAACATGATTTAAAATAAAAACAAAAGAATAAATAAAAAATAGAGTCAATATTAGGTTAACCTCTCTAGAAATAGTGGGAATACAATCATTAACTGAGGTTAGGACATGGCTTGTTATCTAAAATAGAAATAAAAGAATAAATAAAATAAATAAATGCATTGAACTTGATGAGGAATCAATATACCACCTGTACAATCATTAAATATGGGTAAGACAGGGCTTGTTATCTAAAATAAAAACAAAGAATAATATAAAGGATATAAATGCAATGAACATGATCTAATATAAAAAGAAAAGAATAAATAAAAAATAGAGTCAATATTAGGTTAACCTCTCTAGAAATAGTGGGAATACAATCATTAACTGAGGTTAGGACAGGGCTTGTTATCTAAAATAGAAACAAAAGAATAAATAAATAAACTAAATGCATTGAACTTGATGAGGAGTCAATATACCACCTGTACAATCATTAAATATGGGTAAGACAGGGCTTGTTATCTAAAATAAAAACAAAGAATAATATAAAGAATATAAATGCAATGAACATGATCTAAAATAAAAACAAAAGAATAAATAAAAAATAGAGTCAATATTAGGTTAACCTCTCTAGAAATAGTGGGAATACAATCATATAACTGAGGTTAGGACATGGCTTGTTATCTAAAATAGAAATAAAAGAATAAATAAAATAAATAAATGCATTGAACTTGATGAGGAGTCAATATACCACTTGTACAATCATTAAATATGGGTAAGACATGGCTTGTTATCTAAAATAGAAACAAAAGAATAAATATAAAAAATAAATGCATTGAACTTGATGAGGAATCAATATACCACCTGTACAATCATTAAATATGGGTAAGACAGGGCTTGTTATCTAAAATAAAAACAAAGAATAATATAAAGAATATAAATGCAATGAACATGATATAAAATAAAAACAAAAGAATAAATAAAAAATAGAGTCAATATTAGGTTAACCTCTCTAGAAATAGTGGGAATACAATCATTAACTGAGGTTAGGACATGGCTTATTATCTAAAATAGAAACAAAAGAATAAATAAATAAACTAAATGCATTGAACTTGATGAGGAATCAATATACCACCTGTACAATCATTAAATATGGGTAAGACAGGGCTTGTTATCTAAAATAAAAACAAAGAATAATATAAAGGATATAAATGCAATGAACATGATCTAAAATAAAAACAAAAGAATAAATAAAAAATAAGTCAATATTAGGTTAACCTCTCTAGAAATAGTGGGAATATCATCCATCATAAGCTAATGATCATAAAAAATGAACAAATAAATTACTTCTTCTGATTTCAGGAATTCAAATAAAATGATAATCTCTAAAAATTGGTATTTGGCACTCCGATTTCAGTCAAGGAAAATGATAGTCTCATAAAAAATCAACAAATAAATTACTTCTTCTGATTTCAGAATTTGGTATGAACATCTGTTTAAAAAAATATAACAAATAAAAAATAAATAAATAAATACGTACCGATGACATGACGTAACGATGACATGACGTAGCGATGACATGACGTAGCGATGACATGACGTAGCGATGACATGACGTAGCGATGACATGACGTCACGATGACGTAGTGAGGACATCGGAAAATTATAATATAGATAAATACATAGTTAAATAAATAAAGTTAATAATAAATAAAATCTCTGCAAAATATTGTTATATGCAAAAATTTAATTAAAATAATTATTTTTAACATAGAATAAGATATATTGAGTTGATCATAAAATTGGAAGGTTTAGGGGGAGGCAAATTTTTTTTACATCGAATAGATTGAATTAATATACAATTTACTAAACATTGATAACATTTTCAAAATAATGCTTTCAGTCGCTTATTAATTATAAATTTGGCAAAAATTTTAATTCTAATATTTTTTAATATTTATGCTGGCCTGGGTGTAATACACAAAATATTGGCAAATTTTGATAAGGCCACTGCCCTCAACCCCGTCATTCTTGACGGGTTATTAGCTAGTATGATAATAATAATATTAAGTTTTTATTAAATTTTAAATTATGTTTAATATTTATAAAGTTCTTCGTCTATTTTCTTATTTGATGCCAAATGAAGTTTATTTTAATATTGATGACCCAATTCAGGACAAAATAATATAGAGATGGATTATCTTTAAAATAATATATTAGGTAAACAAATAAGCATTACGATTAAGCCATTTAGTCTAAGAATTTATCTTACTGTTTCTTTCCAGTGTTTACAAAGGGTGGGTACTTATTTTTAAGGGTGGAGTAGAAATTGAAGTTTGCATCTAATTAATTTTCTGTCATGTAGAAGCTTTGTCAATAAATTAATGTCTTCGAGAAGATTTATCTTGTATAAGAAATCTGAAGAGGAAAGGTTACGGCGCCGCTGGATAGTTGATCTGAGTATTTGGTTTTGGATCTACTTAATTAACTTAAACTTGTTTTACAATTTTATTTTTAAAATTTCATGTTGTGTAAATTAGATTGTTAGTAAGGATCTTTTCCCTTCCTCAATATTACTAAACTATAATTCCAATTATTACAAATGAGAAATTATTCAATATTCATATATTGCCAAGTTAATACTCATGATTATTGGTCTGAACCATATCATCCTAGACACTTTTTGTTATGAAATACGAACTAAAGATAGGCGGGATCGGGTTTTTAGATATTATACCGAGTTTTGTTAAGATAAATAAAAAAAGCAAAACAATTTTTAAAAAAAGACATGGTACATGGATTTGTTTGAACCTGCATTTTGAGAGTAGGTAACAGCGACTACATAAACGGGGGGGGGGGGGTAGGAACAGTTTGTATCCTATTTTTTGAGGGGGGTAGGGGTTAGGCGGCTTTAATGGGGGTAGGATAAATTTTTGTGGGGGTTATCTATTAAATTTTGAAATCAAATAGGATAAAATTTATTGCTGTAAAAATTAATACTTTTATTATAGACCTATTATAATACAATTCATCAACCAAGTCTATATATTGCAAACTATCATAGACATTATTTCCCAAATAAAACTTTCTGCTATCCTTTCAAATATAATTTAAAAGGTTTAGAGATTTTCAGCAGGCTCACAATGCTATAATAATGAATTCATTGTAAATGATTGGGGTTTTAATTGAATTTATTATCTAAAAATTAACTCCTTTATTCACTAAATCTCGATAGTTGGTAGTAAAGATAAAATATTTAAGTTATTGTTTTTAAATTTTCTGGAGTATCATTATAATTAAAAGGGCGAAATAGAGCGATAGGCATAGGTTTTTGAAGGGTGCATCCAGTGAAAATCCTGTCATGTAGACCCTGGTAGGTAATATAACACTGACCAACAAGATTATCCACTACTTATGAAATAATTTTATTTGTATATAATTATAAATAATCGACTATTTAATTAAATTTATATATATTAAAAAGAGAAGTTTTTTATATGTTCCTTGATTTTACATATCTTATTATTCGACTTAATAATCTTAAAAAAATTAAGATGAGCTCTTGAAATGTAACAATATATATCTTGCAAAGCATTATTAAAATATTATTCTAAAACATAGATTATAATTAAACAGTTAGGTTTTATACCATTATTATCTTTTATATTTTATTAATAATTTTAAAAACAATGAAAATTTTTACTTTAGATTTATCGCTTCAAATACATTGGGGGTCATTTATATTAAAATCTAACAATTCATCCATGGGATTTTGATGGTGTGAAATTTTGAAATCTTATAGATCACTTTCCGACGTTACATCGGACTTATGAATCGTCTACCTCATTTGTAATAATTCATTACCTATCTCCCACTAGACTTAAAACTTTGTCTAATTTCTATTATCCTTTCTCCCGAGTTCTCTCTTGGCCCTTTGAACGATCCAAACGCTCGATTATTCCCAAAATTTTGCCTATCATTTACCTAGATTATTATGCATGACGTCCTCTCTTTAATTAACTCCTGAACCTGTAACCATGTTACCTTTTCAATCAAATCGTGTCTTGATGATCAAAATCTGTCTCTTTATTTTTACTCTGCGATTCCTCTTCATTTACTTGCTCCAAACTAAACTACATATCCATAATAATAATATATATAACTCTCCAAAAATATTGTACTGTATTTCCTAGTATTTAATAAGTCTTAATATCTTCATATTTTCCTTATAAATTAACTATAACCTTTAAAATGGAAATCTTTACTATCTTTAAGGTTAAAAGATATGTTATAATCAATATAGTAAATAATCTAACAATACAAATATACATCGGTTTTTCACGGTATTTATAAATTTAGTCTGGTACGAAACAGTTCCGTAATTTTCTATTTACTAAATACAATGCTTAAAAACTTTAAACAAAATACAGTCCCATATCTTGATCGTTTTCTAATAAATCTCTGCCTCATAAATATCTTAATAGAAATTATCTTTCGCATCCGCCTTTCGGCCTCAAAAATTTCTTAAAAGAAATCAGAATTTGGCCTCAATAATTTCCTGATACACCTTCGCCTTTCGGCTTTAATAAGAAACCACCTTTAGGTCTTAATACAAATCCACCCTTCTTCCTTAATATAAATCAGCTTAACGGCATATAAATCTGCCTTTAGGCCTTAATATAAATCACCTTTGGCCTTAATATAAATCCTCTATTCAAAAAAATAGTAGATCTGTCTTGATCACCACTATTTTAAACGGTTCAGATTTTATTTTAGATATGGGGTTTTTTTCTTCTTTTTTTATAGTTTTCCCCCTACTCTATTTTTAGTTTAATATTTATGTATTTTGAGTTTTTACCTTCTCCTTTTTTGGGGAAATGGATTAATTAAAGAAATATTTTCATCTTTTCTTAAAAATGAAGCTAATCTTTTGGAAGAAAGAAA